ATTGTAGCTCCCCAATTTCCTCACGATGCTGGGTTGGCACCGATCCCAACTGGTCAAGAGCTCATGAGAAAATTTCTTCTCCCCCGGGACTCGAACCAGTGCGCATTCCGTATCGCCGGTCTGAAGCATGATGCCTCAGACCGAGCGGCTACGGCGCGGGACTCATGTTGTTGTTTAGAAACAGAAAATAAATGACATTTTGACCTTAAAAAATGTTTGGGCTTGGCTAATGATTATAACTTGAGATGTGAAATTTTCATGGTGATGTTTTACTATAACATTTACTAATTTTGGAAAATTACATTGTGAGAAACGTTTTGGATACAAGTTTGATTGTTTCATAATACTAATTATCGTAAGAAATAAAGTTCTGGGACATAAATGTTAATTTTAGGAAATATGTGCAGTAAAATTGTTTTATTTCTTGAGCCTATGAAGCCTTTTTCTTTAGATTTCTGAAATGTGTCATGTCATTAATACATTTAGTCATTTCGCTGATGCCACTGATGATGACCTCTTGAGGTCGAAACGCGTATGGCAATAGTGTCTTATTATAGTGTTAATGGTTTGTTTACTCTATATTCTAATGCACTACACGGTATGCAAAGTTTTAAAAATAATATGATGCATTAGTTTATCTTTTTGTTTTATTCCAGGGCTGTTTTTTGCCAACGTCTTGTCCAAGGGGATAAACATCTCATTCATCCAATACTGGAATGGCTTTTAAAGAATATGGAAGATCTGAAAATGAGAGCCTACTTGGCTCAATATTTGGTGAAGGTAGAAGTGCCATTAGAGATACTAAGTGACAGAGATGTTTCTGCATTTTACGAAGAGGTAGGACTCCTGGTATGAGTTTGGGTTGTGCATCGGTGACTTTAACATTAATTTTCAGTTTAATCTGTATTGTTTGGAGTTCCATATGCTGATTTTGTATGTCAGAATTTTCTTTTTATAATGCACTAGTTTTGGGATTATTTGTAACCACCCAAAAACTTTCATTAGCGCTGGATGTTTCTAGTGCAATAGGTGCTCGCCTGGTGGACTTTTGATATTGATGAAAATCATTACATGACTTGTTAACGTTCATCCTATAAGGTAGAATTGATGCTTAGCGTGGCGATGAGTTATATAAAATAACCATTGTAAGGGAAATGTTTTGTTTTATTATGGCTGTAGCGTAATTTTCAGTTTTTATTTGCCAGGAAATTAGTGATTTTGACATTACAGTTCTTCCCAAATTCATAAGTAACTTCTGAAAGTAAAGTAACTGTTTATGGAATTTTTTAAATTTTGAATGCCTGCTACAAAAAGAAATACTGGAAACAAATTTTGTCATTTTTTCATACGTTTGAGCACAGGTCTACAAGTTCAGTGGATTTAATTGAAATCTGAAGGTGCCAGATTGAAAATTGCACTTTTGTATGTTGGTTTTGATATGGAGCGATACAATGAAGTAACAGGTTAAGTAGTTTTTATTATGTGTGATAGACATTAACAAGGATCAGAATTGGGTTACGCATTGGATGGTTGGGCTTCATCTATCTGAAAAATGTGTCTAGCCATGGTTTGTGTTGGATACAGAGTAAAACATAGCTACAGTGTAATGTGAATTAAATGTAAAATTTGTTAATCAGAACATTTCTTCAGGAAAAGTAATGCAAAGTGATCTCTGATAAATAGAAACTTTTAATCAGAGAAATTAAAATTAAAAACAGGAATTTAACGCTGGGCCCCTAGATACCTTTGAATGGCCTTGACCAGACCAATTGTTATGTGGTTGTGTTCAGAAGTTGGTTGAAGGTAATTACATTGTGATTCTAATTTTATTTCAGTATGAGAAATTGATAGAAGACTTTAAACTAGTCCACAAAGACAGTCAAGTGTTAAAGAACAGTGGCTATTCAACTTCAGAATTAAGAGCTGACATAGACGCAATGGAGCATGAGAAGGATATCGTCATTAAAAGAATTGAGCGAATGCAGCAGAAGGTGTGGAACAAAACCCCTAGTTTTGCACCAAACATTGCATGTTTTTATTAACCCTTTAGCACCAGTTTACATTTAATTCTTAGTCAGTACTGGGGATGGAGGATATTTAAATGTTTTCTCCTTTCTCTCATCCTCTTTTACCCGTAGGTGTCGAGGTTTTATTTATTTGATTGATCTATTTGGACAATGGTAGGACTCCTTGGATGAGTGATCAGCCCGATGCAAGGCCTCTACCTATACAAACACAAAGACGCAGACAAACATCCATGCCTTGAGTGGGACTCGAATCCACGGTCCCAGCGGCCAGGTCCATGCCTCAGACCGCGTGGCCACTGCGGCCGGCATATTTAAATGTTAGAGTTAGTTTTTCTTACTCCGTTTTGTGGCAGAAACAGCAAAGAGGACTTCACAGCAGAAACATTTACGCATGTTTTGTACGGAAGTCTTTCAGCATACCCCTGTGAATCTTGAGACATGATATAACTATAAAATCTGCCAGTTCCTATCTTTTTCAAGTACCTGAGTGAAGGCAGCACTGTCTGAACAATAAAACTGCTTGAAAAACCCTGTACATAATCAATTTTTTGTTTTGGTCAGTCACGGTAGAGACAAGATCAGTGAGACAGGTAGCTTAGAAAAGGGACTGGCATCAGGCTGGGCGATTGGGATTCGATTCCTGATGGGCAAGGGATTTTCTTCTAGCCTCTGCATCCAGTCTGGCTCTTGAGACCCATCCCTATTCAGTACTGGGGTCCTTTCCTGGGGGTAAAGTGTTGTTGGGCGTCGTGCTGACCACTCACCTCTTGTAGTGCCAAGGTTGAGAATGAGTATGAGCTATACCTCCTCTCCCCAGAAGTTCCTACAGGGCATTAGTGGGACAGCCTTACTTTTTAAACTTTTTAGAGACAGGATCGGATAGTAATTTAACACCAGCCACTCAAGCACAGAACGTTTTGAGAGATTTACATTCTAATTTAAGTGCCATGGGAAAAGTGACAGCACGTAATAGATGAAAGCCCACAATTTCCGCTTTGATTTTCTACCAAAAAGAATTACTATACGTAAAGAAACAGCTGTACAAAATGTTAGCTGGAGTGTTCTGCTGTACTTGGCATTCTACGTACAACAGGTGGTGCGATTAAATCACCAGCGTGCTCTGTATGTCTCACAGCATTGAAGGGTTAAACTGTGTCTTAAAAATGTTTTTCACATTGTATATTCAGTTTTATTTGTTTATTCATCCACTAATTAGAAGCGTACTTAAAGTGTGCACGCGCGCACACGCACACCCTGCTTAGACTAGTTGCTGGGTGGCTAGTGGGGCTAGTGGTTAGAGACACATGTGAGCTTGGTTTTGCCTTCCCATTGGTATGTCTTGAGGTTTTTTGTGTAGATTGTTCACTGGGTACCATGTGTGACAGAGTGAACCCGTAATCTTTATTAAAGTTGTTCGGATGTAGCTGGATGTTGATGGCTTCCCCCATGAGACAATCCAGGTACCTAGTAGCCATCCCTAGTATGGAGATACTGTCAAAATTTGTACAGTGTGTTGTATCAATCCCCCCCACTTAATGGTACCTGCACCTTGTCGTGGTGGTGGGGCTTGAGTACCTCAGTGACCCCAAGAGCTATGCTGGCGGTAGCACAGCTACTGGTAGGGCCTCCCTAGCCAGATTGGTCGAGGGGGGGAGGTCAGACTAAGACAGGTACCCTGGTCCTCCAGGTTGGGGGTTGGTCGCAAGGCTAACAACCTTGCACCGTAAAAAGGAAGATGTTTCGAAACCTCAATCAAAGCCTCGGACAGACGGACCTAACAGAGGACCGAATGGAAGAGGAGAATTGAGGAGGCCATAGAAGAAGAAGAAGAAGTATCAATCCAGTGTTCTGCCACCACCATTTGTTGTTCCGCAAGGTGAACATGTCTGCCCATGACCACCTGATGTGGCTGATTGCCTGTGAAGACTTCATTGAATTTAGTTACCTCAGAAGGTATATATCTTACATCATTAACCAAACATGTTTAGTGACATCAGGTAACTGTTTTAAATCAAAGAGGGTGTCATAATATTGCAAGAAATGTACGCAGGCTGTAGGTTGAGAACCTGTTTTCTGCAAGGTGTCATCACGCAGGAACAGACTCCATATAAACACACAGGCACTGGGAATGCCTGAAATATTCTATAATCCTTCTTTGTGTTACATAACTTATCATTTTTACAGTTTTCATATCTGGCTCTGTCTGCTTATCAATATAGTTATTCATTCTGAAAACTCGTCAGTTAAACTGTAAACAATTAAAGGAGGCAATAAAACCAATTCGCAGCATTTTCAAATCTGTTTCTGTATTATTCGATAGGTTGAGAATATTCACAATAAAGAGGCAATGCTGGAAGCTGCTCATGCTCTTAGGCTGGAGCGTGAAAGAGAAAAATCCCTTGGAAATCAGAAGCAGGAACAACAGGCATCTCTGACCCATACAGAACAGCAAGTACAGCGATTACAGCAGCAGTTAAAGGAAATGCAGCAGGCAGCCTCGGGAGCTACAGCAGAAGGTTATTTTTCTTTGTTGATGCTGTGTATTAACATGTTTTTTGTCATGCGCACATGCCTATTAAATGTCCTGAAATCAGAATATACCAATTTAATGTTTATAAAAGATGTAGTGAATTATGTGTACCTTCTTTTTTTGTACTTGAAAAAGAAGCAGCTTTCATGCCATTCATATACTATATAATATCAACATTGTCAGCATGTTAAAATTGAATGGTAGAGCAGATGACACTTTGTTACCTCCTTTATTTGCTGTGTGGATCATATATGAATTATATGTGGTAATCAAACGTAGGGCAGTCAAAAAGTTCCCGGAATTGTGGTATAGCACGGTAATGGTAGGACATATAGCAACGCTTACCTAATCACCTTCAAAGTAGGACCCTTGGGCGCACACACACACACACACTTGCTCCGTCGATCCTGCCATTGTTGGACGCACCGGCGGAAGGCTTTGTTTGGAATCTTCCTGAGTTCGGCCGTCACATTCGACACATCGCTGGTTGTGCAGCAATTCCTTGCCGAGAAAAGCATTCCTGTCATCACCCAACCACCATACTCTCTGGATCTCGCTGCGAGTGACTTCTGGCTGTTCCCTACTCTGAAAATGGGCCTCAAGGCGACGTGTTTCGCAACCATGGAGGACATCAAATCGAATGCGACGGCCGAACAACGGAAGATTCAAAATGAAGCCTTCCGCCGGTGCTTCCAACAATGGCAGGATTGACGGAGCAAGTGTGTGTGTGCGCGAGGGTCCTACTTTGAAGGTGATTTAGGTAAGCGTTGCCATATGTCCTACCATTACAGTGCTATACCACAATTCCGGGAACTTTTTGACTACCCCTCGTAGTTCTATACATTGATGATCCGCATTGTACTAGGCATACGGGAGAAACCACATTGCAAGTTTGACTTTCTTGGCATGTGAATATGAATTAAAAATATTAAAAATGTATTGGCTGACTTGTGGACTGTGAAGTATATACAGTGCCATCTTTGCATGGATAGAATGATAACAGTAATTTCATGACGTGCACAGTGGAACTTCTGTTACAGGTTTGTGTTTTGTGGATTTGATTATTTTGCAATGTTGCAGGCATAGTTATCTGTTATAAATGTGCTGCTGATTGAAAAATCTGTTTTATCACATTTTGCAGGGTTGTTACAACGTTTAGAAGAAGAAACAAATGTAAACACATATATTGTGAAACAGAAGCTTCCTAAGGAGATAGGTATCCGGAACAATGACCTTGAAATTCTTCGTCTTGTTCTCTCTGAACCAGTGATGAGTAGAGGAGATCTGGATGCTTTAAACAGTAAGGTAGGCCCATAGAGCTTACAATAAGTTCCCAGGAGTGTCTTTGGCCCCAGAAATACTGCATTTACTTGTAACCTTGCAGTCACTCATCTGTTCATTGTATCTTGTAGCCATTAATTTTAAATTGGTGTCATATGTTGTTCACAAGGATGAGAATGAATGAATCTATTTATTGGGAGTGTCTCTTGCTTCCACATGGTCTTTCGTTATCATATCGTGTTATTTTATAAGGGGTCTGCAGTTGCCGTGCGGTCTGAGGCGTGGGCCTTGTGTCGCTTGGTCGCTGGGACCGTGGGTTCGAATCCCACTCAAGCCATGGATGTTTTTCTGTGTTGTGCTGTCCTGTGTACAGGTAGAGGCCTTGCGACGGGCCGATCCCTCGTCCAAGGAGTCCTACCGAATGTCTATAGATCGAGGCAACGAAAAGTTGGGACCTGCAGTGCTTAGGCACTTGAAGAACGGGTCGTTCCCAGTATCCAGTTATTTTATAAGCTTTGTTTAACTCTTTGAAGCTCAATGGTTAGTGGGTGCATTACCTGATTTAGCATTGGGCAATTCTGCATTTTAGCTACAGAGTTTATGTATAGATTTTGAATGATTCCTAGAAGAAATAGCAATTCTTTCCCTGAAAAGTCTTTATAATGGAGATGTGTGTTTTTAATATTACTCGCATGAGCTTGGCTTCAAATGGTTAATAGGTGCAGTTACTGAAAATAGTTGAAATAAATATATAACTTTCACTTGTAAGATTTGAGGTTTTCAGAGCGGTGATTATGAATATTTCTGTCTGTAGTCTGGTCGATGCTAACCAACGTTTCAGAGGTCATACTACCTCTGTCATCAGGGCGATAACTTTCACTTGTGTATATGTGTTTAATCTTAAACTGGTTCTTAATGGTGGTCACTCTGCATCCACGAGCTATGAAACTCTTATGTCTGTAGAAGAGTGATGTGAGAATATTTCTGCTTCATACTCCATGAAATAGCAATGGTTATGAAGATATGTCATGTCAGTACTTGTGTTTCATGTATTCCACAGCTGCCAGATGTCTCTGTTGCCTGTTATTGTTGAGTCATGCTAATTTGTTATGTAGTTTCTTTTTTAATTTAAGACAAACAATGGAGGATAATATTAAAATTAATCTTTAGGAGATGGGATAGTGTGGACTGGATGAATCTGGCTCAGGATAGAGAGGTCAGTGGTGGTTCATGTCAAGATGGCAATGAATCTTCGGGTTGTGGCAGTCAGGAAATCTTTCTATCACAGAGTCCATACAGACTGCCTTGACATGAACCCAGGCCTCTGTAGGTAGGAGCTAGCATCAAACATCCTGAGCTATGGCATGAATTTATTATTACATCATGGAAAAATTAATATACTGGGTGCGGCAGAGGAAACGCATGTTTTTCGAATGGCTAGTACTCGGCAAGGAGGAGGGTGGGGGATTTCCTCTCCTTGCTAGTAGACAGCTTAGATGATGCAGTTTCAGTAGCCATGGCACCTTGGACCCGCGAGCATCGGGTGTTTGTCGTTGAAAATTATATCAAAAGTGGTGAATCCGTAATTGCCGCTCATCTCCTGTTTCGGTGATATCCCTTGGCCGCCTTGCTCATCTGACTTGTCCGTATGTGACTATTTTTTGTGGGGTTACCTCAAATCAAAGCTATACAGGAACATCCAGGAACTGAAAGATTCCATTCGCCAGGAAATCGCTGCTGTGGGGGAAGAAATGTTGGGAAGAGCAATGCAGAATTTCGAGGAAAGGCTGCAAAAGAGTGTACAGAAGGAAGGGCGTCACTTGACAGACATTATTTTTCAGAAGTAATCCAAAAATGTTCAACAAAAACTGCATTGTAAAACCTTTCTTTTGGTGTAATTAAAATTTTTTTAACTTGAAAATCAACTGAGTTATTGTTATTTGTAAAACATTCGTTTCCTCTGCCGCACGCTGTACAACTGATTTCAGAAATATTGTTTTATTTACAGTGTTGTGTGGAAGTTTCATTGTATATTTGTATTTTTATTGGCTGTTTAATATCATTATTATGTTGGAGTATATTTCCTTCCCTGTTGCATCCACACCCTGTTTTTTCGTAAATATTTCATATTTGTGTGTTTAATACAGATTCATTCAGTAAACAGTGAGATTACCCAAATGGTTGAGCACCACCTGGCTGCAAATAATCCAGCTGATGATAAGCTAGCACCATTCCGACAACAAGCTGCTATCATTGCACGTAAAAAGGAAACCACAGCAGAACATCTGACAGAACTCAGGAACAAACTTTCAGCAGCAGAGGAAGAACTGCAGGTAAAGTTTTGTTTTGTAACGTAAGCGTTTGATATCATGAACTTGAGGCATGAATTATCAGTTTTCCTTAGGATTAGGAAACACCATGATGGAAATAGAATACAAATAAAGTTTGGGCTTGGCTTTTGGGTGTGACCTGTATTTAATGTTGAGTATTAACTAGCATTTCAGCAAATATAACAGTTACTATTTTCAGGATTAATGTGTATTGGAGTGAATTCTGGAAGCCCTATGTAGGGCAGACAGTGAATGGCAAGGTAGAGTTGATGGTCCTGATTGGTGGAGTTAGGGAGCGGGCTGCTATCCAGTGGAAAAGGAACGTGTATTTGAGGTCAAGAGGTGACCGATTTTTTTTAATGAAGATGTGATGAAAGGAGGTGACAAAAGAGGTTATGGTGACTGTTGGATGGTAACTGTAACTGGCAACTAGAGTGTATGCCGGAATGTTGGTTAATATTTAACATTCAACGTGGCTCACACCTGAAAGCCACAAAAGTCTAAGGACAAAAATTCTGATTCATAGTTAGTGCAGGTTAATTAAGTAGATTCATGTTTTGTGGCAGTACCTACTTTTCTTTTGTACATTTTATATGAAGCAAATTGTTTCTTTCACACAGGAAATGAATTTAAATAATACTACTGTTAAGCATCTGTAATTCGATGTACAAGATACATCATTGTATATGTTCATAACTAATTCCAATATTAGTAATGCAAAATCTGTGCTGATTCTTTAGCATTGGTTGAAAATAATATTATTAAGCTTACAATTACGACTAAATTTACTAAAGAAGAAATCTATTTGTGTTAGTTGTTTTATATATATACTTCACAATTTTGAAGGCTGAATTGTATACATGCTGACAAAATAATACTATGGTTCATTATAGGACATCTTTGAATGCAATAAAATTACTGAAAAGACTTAGGATACACAAAACAAAATGTTTGAATAAAATAACTGGTGGTGTCATGAAAACATTTTACAGGAGAAGAAAAGTCAGCTAAAAGAATTTGCTGGTGAGACAGTGCTGCGAGGAGAAGAATTTAAGCGTTACGTGACCAAGCTGAGAGGCCGAAGCTCGTTGTACAAACGACAGAGAACTGAGCTGTCTGCGCTGAAGGCTGAGGCTGGAGTACTGACACGCACAGTTGAAATACTTCGTGCTCGAGATGAGGCCGTTTTGCGAGGACTGGTGTGTTTTTATTAGTATAATATTTTACTCAATAATTTCTTGCATTCAAGTATTTCAAAGCACATTTGTAATAGTGAAACACTGTTTTGCACTAAGACTCTCTGATAGATTGAATTTATTTGTTGAATGGTGTAATAGAGACTTAGTATACCTTCATTGCTTCTTGTCATCTCTCATGACTGACAATTAATAATTCATCATCTGTGCGGCAGTCATAGAATCCCCCACAAAATGTACACTCTGGTTAGAGATTCTACTTTCATACTTGCTATTGGGTAGAGCCCACTTTCTGCTTCAAAGTTGTTTCCTGTTGGTACCATTGACTGTCACTTTGCAATTTTACTGTTGCTGAACCAGGTACACAAGGTTTTAGTGTTTACTGTAATTATGCAATACTGTAAGTGTGTGTGTGTGTAATATTTGGATTATATGTTGATATTTTACAATCACATGTGTAGCATGCAAAATATGTGATATGTGACTTAAGTCTGAAAGTAGTATTATCAGGTAGTAATCTGGTTATCGGCCCCCCCCCCCTCTCTCTCTCTTTATGAGGGGTTAGAAAAATCTAAAAAAATCTGAAATGTAGTGCTGTGACCTCTGTATAGGGGTTCCTTTTATCTGTTTGAGTCGTTTCATTTTTGATGCTGTGTAACGTCTCCACATGAATGTCTAAAGGGGAATGAGAATTGAGGTCGTGTGATACTAAAGGTGAGAGTCCAGGGTGTGGTTGTCTAGGTCAGGATACTGTGTAGTATTGTAGGTCATCACTAGTGTGCAGAGGAACGTGAAGATGGCTATCTTGTGACTCACTGCTCTGAAAACCGCAAATCCTACCCTGCTCTGACCACATTCTGGATATTGCTGGAATGTTTTTGGTTTATCTAGTCTCAGGATATTAACAGATTTATTGTAAGAGGTGTATTTACTGCAGAACTGTGGAGAATTCAGACCCCATTTCAGACATGGGAATTTCAGTTCCTAGTGTATAGAAATTATTTATTTATGGCATTTTTGTGCTGTGCTATGTGATTAAATTCCCTTGAAATTCTGTTCTTATTATAGGTGTGTGTGCTTTTACTCTGTTGTCCAAGTGGTTGTTGGAACAGTTAATCATAATGTGTGATACCTACTAACTCCATGTAGCAGATGTTGGTCATGATTATCGGGGTTGTAACATCATGTGGTTAGCAATGCTTTTAGAGGAATGTATCACCTCCTACAGGCACTCTGAGAACTTCAAGTCCATGGTTTAGGATTCTTCAGAGACTAATATTTGCTCAGTTTGTCAAATTCCTTACCTTTTATGGAGCGTGAAGGTTTATTACCATGCTCACAAGTGTCTACCACTGGTCTCCATCCTGAGCCATGCAAATTCAGTTCACATCATTGCACCCCTGTGCCATGGACCACTTCTGTACAGGTTTTCACCCAAGACACTTTGACAAATTCCGTCTCGGCTCGTCTTTCTAAATTCTACTTTGGATTGTGGTTGAGCCCTGTGTGAATGGTCCGCCAGTTGAGATGTCCGCGGTGGTAAGTTTTGTGTTTTTCTTATATATTGTGTTAATCATCCAGCGGAAGTTGCACCAGCGTATATTTTGGTTGCGATCCGCAGACCTCTAGGTTATGGGCCCAATACGCTTACACTTTTTTTTTTAATACCTTTCAAAATGAACTCATTCTAATACATCGGCAAGCACTGATCGACAGGTCGAAACAATTATGAGACAAACACAAAAATCTTACAATACTGGCAATCCAAACTGAAACTGGAGTAGACATTTAGTGCTCCTCTGCACCCTCTTCTTCTCCTTAAACAGAATCCTTGCCTGCCTCCTCGTAATCCCTCTCCAGGGTTGCAAGATCCTCGCGAGCTGCTGAGAACTTGCTTTCATCCATATCCTCACCCACGCACCAGTCAACATAGTCACGCCTAGTGTACGTAAGGTCGAGTGTGTGGTCCAGGCGAGCCCAGGCCTTGGCAGTGGCAGTCGTGTTGGACAACATGCACGCGGCATGCTGCACCTTGGCCAGGTCTTCTCCAGGAACCACAGTTTGTGGCTGGTAGTTTAAGCCAAACTTGAAGCCAGTTGGATACCTGTCCACAAACTGGATCGAGCGCTTGGTCCTGATGGTCTCGATGGCAGCGTTGACGTCCTTGGGCTTAACGTCCACTCTGTACAGCAAGTATCCGGCCATGTACTTTCCAAGTTGTGGGTCACATTTCATCATATGGTTGGCAGGATCAAAACATGCGTTTGTAATTTGAGGTACGGTAAACTGCTCATGGTGTGCTGTCTCAGCTGAGGTGACAGAGGCGGGGGTCGGGCACCAAGTTAGTCTGCAATTGAGTTAGGTCAACATAGTGAGGGCTATGGAACCGGAGAGGAGCAGTATTGGAAGATAAATCTGAGCAATCAGTCTGTTAAGGTTGGTGTAGGTGGGACATACCTAAATCAAAACAAAGTGTTTTGTTTCACACGAATTCAAACAATTCTGTTTTGATTTAGGTATTAAACATGTGACCACTACTCCATATTATCCCCAGCCTTCCCATGTGGAGCGTTTCAATCGGAACGGGCTCATCTCTCACAAAAGAAGTTGCGTTACAGTTAAGTATCTGTGTGTTGTAAACTTGGAGAGAGGTCCAAGTGAAGAAAGGATATTGTCCTTTTGAATTGTGTAAACCAAGGGTAATTAACTTTGTTAATAATTTAAGCTAGTTGTAAATTGTGTAAACCAACGGTAATTGACTTTGTTTATAATTTAAGTTAGTTGTAAATTGTGTAAACCAAGGGTAATTGACTTTGTTTATAATTTAAGTTAGTTGTAAATTGTGTAAACAAAGGGTAATTGACTTTGTTAAAAATTTAAGTTAGTTGTAAGTTGTGTAAACCAAGGGCATTAACTGTGTTAATAAGTTAAGTTAGTTGTAAAGTTAGCAGCCGTTAACTAACATGGCTGATGAACTTACGATCTTCATGAAATTGCCTGGTTGGCCGTGCGCAGTTGTCCTTTCCCCCACCCCTTTACCTTTCCATCCACTCCTTGGGACTGTGTTATCTGGTAACTGGAAGACCACTTCTGTGCAGGTTTTCACCCAAGACACTTTGACAAATTCCTTTTCGGCTTGTCTTTCTAAATTCTACTTTGGATGGTCCGCCAGTTGAGACGTCCACGGTGGTAAGTTTTGTGTTTTTCTTATATATTGTGTTGATCATCCAGCGGACGTCGCACCAGTGTATATTTGGTTAATTTCGTTTAATAATTCTTTTGTATTGTGTTGTTAAATGATAAAATACACTCATTTAGATTTTGTTTTCTATGTGGCTTCTTTTAATCGAACTGATCCATGCTGATTATATTTCAAGCTCTGATTACTGGCCCACCCCCTTTTATTTATCTAAGATCCATTTTAATATCCTCCCTTCTTTGCCTAGGTTTCCCAGGTACTGTCATTCTTATCAGGTTTTATGATCAAAATTGTATATATGCGTTTCTCCAGTGCATGCTATATGTTCCACCCATCCCATCCTTCATAGTTTGATCACCCCAATAATGTTCTGTTAGGATTTTTACTGTGCTTTTTCCATTCTATTATTCTATCCCTCTTGGGTCCAGATGATCACCTCAGCATCTTGTGATTCTGTTTGATCATGAAAAATTAGGTGAAATGTTTCCCATATGACATACAAATGCCATATGTTAAAAGCTGAAATGTTTCTGTTGACAATTTATAATTCAGTCACCTACCTTCCATTTTTTAAAATAATGAATAAGACATCATATAAATGTATTTAAAATAAGATCAAGTGGAGTTTTAATGAGTGAATATTTAAGAGTGTATTGACCCACAGGCAGAGATTAATACATGCTGAAAATAATTAGAGAGATTTTTAGAACATCAAAAATTAAAATTTAGCATGTATTATACACATGGCAAAGTGTCCTTATGTTACATTGAACTGAAAATTATTTTTGTAAATGCAGAAAAAATTATTTATTAGATGTTTTGTAGAAGTGCAAATGCATGGCCTGTATAAAACTGGAATGACATTAGAATAAGAAGAAGGAGGAGGCGTGTGTATGGGAAAGAAGGTTGTGGTCAGGCCGGAAGAGCTGTTGATTGGTTCTGTTAATTTTGTGTTAGAACAGTGTACCAGTTCTATGATATGTGCAGAAATAAATTATCCATGCTATAGGCAATGGAGGAGGCTCAACATGGAGTATCTGGGTTTCGAGTAACAGAGGAACGTATGGAGCAGGTTTCTGGGGAGAAGGCTAATGTTGACCATGAGAAAGGGCAAACTCTGGAGGAAATGTCCTCACTTGTATTAGAGCTTACCCAGCGAATTGCCACCAAGAAGGCTCAGCTAGCACCAATTATTAAAGGTAAACACTGGATTTATAACAGAATCTTACAGTAATTCTGATAAAATACTCATGTAAAAGGAAGCTATTTTAGTACTCGCTGACTTAAATGTTGAAACTCGACCTCCATGAACAAGACGTTGCTTACAAGTCCCTGGTACTAGATCCCACTAATTCAAAAGCTCGCCACAGAACACAGTCTCGAGCGAGGTTTGTCCAGTTACCCTCATGACATATTTCTCCAGGAACCGTCTTAACATTATCTTCCCATCTCATATTCAGTCGTCTTGAGTGGCCACTGGCCACGAAAATTATGCATGTATTACTTCATTTGTCTATCCAAGTTACATAATCACCCTATTGTAATCTGAGTTTTACTAACCTATTAGGTGTCGCATTTATTTTGTGGGCTCTTCATGCATGTATGGATTTAATTGGAATTTAAACCATCTCAAAGTGCTGTATTGCATTTTTTAAGCTGAAACCTGAATTTTTGTGGCAGCTGTAGTCACTGTATTTCAACTTTCTCTGACCTATGTAGCGTAATGGTGTCAGCACATTGTAGTGCCATGTTATAACTGATGAACTTACTGCTTTCTCTTCTTCACTGTCATACTTTCTTCTTCCTTTTGACTAATTTTGTCACTAGTTCCACTTTCTAAAATTTGTCAATTAAGTTGAGATTTTGTTTTATTGTCATTTTCATAAGTCGTCTAGCCATTTTACCACAAAAGATGTATTGTTTAAAATGGAGCAGAAAGAGCCTAGTTCACACATGTCAACATTTATGTAGAAAAAAAGTTGTGTGTGGATGATCCATACACAGATAATCTAGGAATTAACTGTAACAACATTAAAACAAATTAACTAATCATACTAAGGTACAAGATTTTGTATCAACTAGTCTTGTCTTCCACTTTTCATAAGTTATAGCATGCTTACATCATTTAACACTTTACCACTGAATATCAAAGGCAAACCTGAATTATAGTTGACATTTAATTCTTGTGGCTTCTGGCATGAGTTACGTTCAGCTCACACGGAAGTCAGTATGTTAAATTCAAATCAAACTCTCATAAATAGTTTGAAAGTAAGATTATTATTACAGCTCTAATTGTAAGAGAATGAACATTATTCAAAACTTAGCTTTATCGATATTTGTAGTGCATTTTGTTAAATAACGCTTTATCATGTTGATCTTTCTGTTATTAATTATTACCATCATAATTGTCATTGCTGAAGAAAAATAACTCTGATTTGTCTTAGAGTTGAGACCATTGAGAGAGAGCTGCCAAGTACTGACTGCAGAGTATGAACAGAAGAAACATGTGTACGATACTACTGCAGCTGGTCTTGAAAGTGCTACAGCAAAACTTGAGCAGGTTTGTTTCATTGAACTTACAGGCAGTATTGTTTATGTGTGAGTAAAGGATTTTTCGTCTAGCCTCTGCATCCAGACCACCTCTGGAGTTTACCCAGCCTCCTATCAGATGAATACCAGTGACCCTGTCCCCAGTGGTAAGGTGCAGCAGGGGTTGTACCTCTTGTCCCCTCAGACACCTTCATTGTGTGTAGTGGGACAGCTTTACTTTACTTTTTACATATGTAGTGTAACACCATTGATTTTCAGTTTTACAAATTTTATCCTCACATCATTATTCATTAGTGTTTTCATCATGGATGGTTGTCTCATGATTAAGCCTTCTGCATTTATCTCTCTCTTACCGTAAATGCTTCTCTTTCCCCCCCTGCCTTTGTCTCCAGATTGGTTGTTTGCCATCTTTACTTTTGATGCTCTGTAAGGAATCCTATCGTGTGTGTGTCTTCGTTGTTGTAGGAAGTACAAAATCTGAAGGAGGAGATACGTGCTTCAGAATCAAAGTACCATTTGCTGGAGGCTGAATCAGTGATCAGTCAGGTGAAGTTGGATCAAATAGCAGAGGAGATGCAACGTTATGTTGGTAACACAGCGGGATCTGATAAAACCAAGTCTTTGCGGTGAGAATTATTTAATCTATTAAGCCTGTGTCCCAAGTCCGGTATGAACATGATACTATCATTCTGTAAGATCTCATATGTTGACATCATCATATTATCTTCTTCATTTACCTTGCAGGAAATAATTTAACCGAGTCTTAAGTGTTACAACCGCAAAAAATGTGCATTGAGCATACAATATTGTTTCATATTGGTTACTATTTTATTTGTGCATTCTTTATATGTGTTATATAGGGATCGGTTAACCCAGAAAATAAATGAACTGGAGAAATTAAGTCGTCAGCTGAAAGATGATCAACATATAGTGAAAGAGAATCAGGCTAATCGTTCAAAGCAAATGAAACTGTGGACTGACCTTCAGAAGTGAGTATTGGCTTTTCATGGTTTGTTCTTGTTCATGCCACTCCAGGATGTTTGGGTCTCGATTTTTAATTAACTGATTTGGCTGTTTCTGTGGACAATGTTCAACACCGAGTCTTTAAGGCTCTCCAACTTCTGGGGATGAATGTATGGCGGGTTTCATGAGTATGAAAATCTAACCAAGAAAGTAGTCTTTTTAGAAGTATAAATCAGATTGTCTGGTCTGTACCTCTCCATATCCTGCTGACCAAAATTGTGGAAGGCAATAACTATGAATTTTTCTGAAATATTAATGAACTTTTGGTAGATCAAGAAGCATGGACCTGAAAACAGTATTTTCACTTCATTATCTTGATATTCATTCCATATTCTTTATCGTGGTTTTTAAGAAAATGAAATTTTCTGAGTGGTTCATACAATTTAATTTACATGTCTTTGTCATTTGAATGCATATAACATCCAGTCTGTTCTGTTATTATTTTATGTATATATATGGCTTTTGGTTTTATTAATGAATGTTTTTAGGTTTTGTTTGAAACCACAGAAAAATTGTGTCGGAAGCATCCGTAATACATATTGGTATTGTGAGTCTGTTCCAGTAAAATCTTAATTAGAGTGTACTAGTATATTTTTGTTCACAAGTTACAGATTACATAACACAGTCCACATTTGGATGTCTGTGTACAGAATGTGCAGACTGGTAGATTTATTGTGTCCCTGAACTTCAGAATATACAGTCCTGTGGTGTATGCTAGCTAGCTGACATCACTATGTTATTCCTACTGCAACCTGAGCCAAGTTGCAGGTCTTTGGTCATATTTTATTAGTCATAGAGTGCGGGTGGTCTTAGTGTATCTGTGAAATGTATTAAGTTGAACATAGACTGTTCATTTGCAATATATTTGAAAAGCTTACATAATACATGGAAAATATGTTTGTGAAAGTTTTGAAAAAAATATTCCGCATTGGCAGTGTCACGTAAATGAACGCTGTAGCAAACAGTGGAAAAATTTGAATGACAGGTTTAGTGCTGGAAAATAAGATTACAAAAAAAGTCACGTTTCAGCTGAAATAAAATGGGATGACATTGGTGTTTGATGGGAGGCAGGTCTCAGAAAATCTTTGTGCCTGTTGGCTTTTCATAGTGTAGTGTCAGAAGCTTCAACTCACATGGCAACAAAATTTTTAAAACTATGAACTTATGAACGA